TGGTGGGAGCAGTCAGAACACACACAGTTATCAATTGAGTTTGATGCCTTCTATGTGTAGTTTGTGGCATCATAAAACAATTACAATAGTAACATCAAAGATCACTGATCACAGATCATGATAACAGGTATAACAATGATGAAAACATTTAAAATATAGTGAGAATTACCAAAATGTGGCACAGAAGTGAGCACCTGCTTTTGGAAAAATGGCTCTAGTAGGCTTGCTCAACACAGAGTTGCCACAGACCTTCAATTCGTAAAAAAACACAATATCTGCAACATGTAATAAAGCGAAGTGCAACAAAGTGAGGTCTGTCTGTACTAACTCCAAACTCAAATGAACTATTTTCAAAGATACGGTTTACAGAGGCCTTCAAGCCCTGACTGGATCTTGAGCAAACTCCTTCCTGCCAGCAGGGCAGGGGTTGAGTGCGGCTGTGTGGGGTTAATGCTCTGTGTGGCCATCCTGACGTTTCTCGTTTGCATTTTGTAAGTGCATTTTGTAGCTTTTTATTTTGCATTTTGTAAGTGAGGTCTAATCGGCCAATGGCACATGACCCAGGGAAGCTTTGAGCTTTGTCTCATGCTTCCCTGGGTGGGTTCTGGTGGGAGTGGGGTATAGACAGAGACACACACACACACACACACACACACACACACACACACACACACAGAGAGAAGTGAGACGTGTTTTGTCCCCCTTTTTTTTGAACAAGAGACCCCACATTTATATCTTGCACTGGACACCCACAAATTTTCTGCACAGTACTGGATGCAAGCTCAGGGTTCCTCAACTGGGGGAACGCAGAGCATCCTTGGTGATCACTGGCCCAGGTACATTTTAGGGGTGCCGAGTTGGAGGGGCTAAAAGCAAATACGTGGAAACCTGGTCAGAGATGGGTCCAAGTCCAGCCTCTGCCCGCTTTTGGCTTTATGATCTTTGGAAAGCAGGTGCCCTATCTGGGTCTTGATGGTCTTGGCTGTAAAATAGGGAGAAAGAATTTTGAGTGTATTGAAGAGCTTAGCTCATGATGAATAGGTCCTGAATTCAGAGCTATCAGGAGGGGGGTAGGTCCTTTCCTTTCCTGTTCTTTTCTTTCCTTCTCTTCCTTTTCCTCCGATGGAAAAGAAAAGGAGCTTGACCAAGGTCAGAGAAGAAGGATTTGGAAATGCTGAGCTGCCAGTGCCTGTCCTGGAGACTTTTTTTAAAGCTTTATTAAAATGTAATTTACACACCGTGAAGCTCACCTGTTTCAAGTGTACAGCGCAATGGCGTTTAGTCTACTCGGAGGATTGTGCGACATTCACTGCACTCTGGAACATGTTTACTGCCACTCCCCCAAAAGAAAGCCTGTACCCACTAAGAGTCACTCCCCGTGTTCCCCCTGTGGCCCCAGACCCTGACGCATGGTGATGAGTTTCAGTCACTGTAGGAATTTGTCCCTGTGTGCAGACACTTCATACACACGAGATCCTACAGCAACTGGTTCTTGGTGACTGGCATCTTTCACCAGGCATGATGACTTCAATGGCCATGCATGCGGTAGCATATATCAGTGCTTCATTCTTTTTTTTTTTTTTTTGTATGAGGAGAAAGGTTTTTATCTCCCTCCCCTCCCAGGTAGACCAGATGTCGGAACGCACTTAGTGCATGAGGAGAAAGGACATCTCCAGTGCTTCATTCTTTTTCATTGCTTTGTTTTTTGAGACAGAGTCTCACTCTGTTGCCCAGGCTAGAGTGCCGTAGCATCAGCCTAGCTCATGGCAACCTCCAACTCCTGGGCTCCAGCAATCCTTCTGCCTCAGCTTCCTGAGTAGCTGGGACTACGGGCATGCGCCACCAGGCCCGGATAATTTTTTCTATGTTTTTAGTTGGCCAATTAATTTATTTCTACTTTTTAGTACCATGTTTCCCCGAAAATAAGACCTACCCATAAAATAAGCCCTAGCAGGATTTCTAAACATTTGCACAATATAAGCCCTACCCAGAAAATAAGACCTAGTGATGGGCGTGGCTACACAGGGTATCTCCACAACCCATGCATTTCATCACGGAGTGGTAAAGAAGACGAGCAGCCCTTCTCATCTGCCCCATGAGAGCTCTATGGCTCAACATGAGAGATTGGGGCCAATGGTTCTGAAGAAAATAGAGTTGCAAGAAATTCAGGATGGAATTCGGGGTTTGGAGAGTTATGATGATGTTCCAGAAGAAGACAACTTAACTATATTTGAATAAATGTAGATTGTTGTACCGTACTTAAAAAAAATAACACATCCCCTGAAAATAAGCCCTACGGTGTCTTCTTGAGGAAAAACAAATATAAGACCCTGTTTTATTTTCGAGGAAAAATGGTAGAGACAGTGTCTCGCTCTTGCTCAGGCTGGTCTGGAACTCCTGACCTTGAGCAATCCGCCCACCTGGGCCTCCCAGAGTGCTAGGATTACAGTTGTGAGCCACCGTGCCCAGCCTTGCTGTTGTCTTTTGATTACAGCCTTCTTGGTGGCTCTGAAGGCTGTGGCCACCTCCCTTTTCTGCATTCACCATTCCGGGGCCCCAGCTCTCTCGTCTAAGGGGGGATGACCCCAGGCACGCTCATGCCACGCCCTCACACACACTCACAAACACACACGCTCCAGCATGCTTCCGCAAACTCACGGTGCTCACTCACACGATCACACTCCCCTCCCTCCCTCACACACGCTGACACTGTGACACCTCACACTTTCTCACACTCACACTCACACATTTGCTCTCTCACGCTCACACTTTGTCACTCGACTTCACACACACTCATGCTTGCACACTCGTTCACTACTTACCCAGTCCCTAATGCACTCCCATGGTCTCACACTCACACATTCACTTCCACAATCTGGCATTCCAGCACATTCTCGCACACTCATTCTCACCCCGCGCCCCCTCTCCTGCCCGCCTGCGCACAGGAGCACAGTTGGGCTGGAGTCTCGGCCTGAACCCCGACCCGCTTGTGGGCTCTGCAGGGACAGGCCTGCCTTGAGCCACCACTGCCCACTCTGAGCAGTGGGGACACTCCTGGGGACCCGTCAGCGTGCTCTGCGGATGGTTGTGGGCAGCCGCAGCCTGCGAGCTGCTGGGTCAGCATCCAGCATCACTGTTAGGGCCAAGCGCTGCTTAATTAGTGCTGTCCCCACTGCCAGGGCCCGGCCCTTCCCAGGCATCTTCTGTCCTCGGCCCCTGGGGCTGTGCTCTCCTGGGTCATTATCACCTTTCAGTTAATCCTCAGCTGCTGCCACCCATCAACACCTGTGCCGCCCCCAGCCCCTGCGGGGTCTGCACCCCCACCCAGCACCGCATCCAGGCCACCTCCAGCTAGTGGGGACACATGCTTGGCATGACTGCTCAGGCTGTTTCAGATTCACGAGGTGGGGGAGGTCTTGACACGTGCTCCCCGCCCCCCCCCCGTCCTGTTCCCCCCTGCAGCCATCCACTCCAGCAGGCTGACGGGTCGTCCGGATGGGGGCTGTGTCCCCAGCTCTCTGGTTTGAACCTCGATCCAGAGGGTCCTGGGGGTCACTCCGCACGGCACAAGCGCTGCCAGGCAACACCCTGGTGGACACAGCAGGGGCCCTGGGGGGGCCCAGGGGGCCGCAGGGCGCGTGACACATGATCTAGCTCTGAGTGGTAGCCTTGCTCTGGGCCCCCGGCCAAGGAGGACTCGGAGAGGAAGAGAGAGTGTCTGCAAACAAGCCGGCTGCCAAGAAGGGGCCCGGTGACAGGAGAAGGTGCGAAGGGGAGGGGGCCAGGTGGCTGCAGCCTGCGAGGCCTGCATGACCTTCCTTATCCTGGCTATGCAGCCACACACACACACAGATCCGATCAAACCCTCACCCCCCACACACACACAGGTCGGCCCACACGGGTCAGATGCTCGTGGACTCACAACACGCACAAAGTTGTATTCTCACCCACGTGTGGTGAGGTCCGTTCCAGCCCCATTTTCTCTCTCTGTGTCTGTCACACACACATGTATACGTAGGGTTCCTTGGTAGAATGTTTGAGGACTGTATTCCTCATTGCAAAGTGTGCCGCACAAACTTTGGTTTGGTGAGGAAGGATTCTTAGCAGTAAACAGCTCACTCCCTCGTTCTCGGAGATCCGCCCTCGGCAACCCCCTGCAGGATCGGCTCCACCAGACGGACAGACGGACGGACGGACGGACGGGCAACGGGAGCCTCCGCCAGGCCTGGCACAGTCAGACACGCAGCCTCTCCCCTCTGTCTGTCTCTGTGTGTCTCTCTGTCTCTGTCTCCCCCACTCTCTCCGTGTCTCTCCGTGTCTGTTTCTCTCTCCCTCTGCAGCCCACTCTCCAGCGCACACGCGTGCACGCTGTCCGCTGTCCCAGGCAGACACGCTCACAGCATCACTGGGATCTGAGTGCCAGATGGACTTTATTTGCTGAGTGGCTGGGGTGGGAGCAGGCAAGGCCCACCACGGGAGGGCAGTGCCCCCAGTGAATGGTCAGCAGGATTCGGGAGGGAGGAAAACCCAGGAAAGGGCAGGAGAGAGACGAAGGCAGAAGGACAGGGAGGAAGAGGACAGGGACAAAGAGTGTGAGAGGCCCTCGGAGGGGAGGCCGCACCAAACCACACGTTTACTGGCCCCCTACGATGACGGGCCAGCAGCGAACAGGACAGGGAAAGACCCCCACCTCCCAGGAGCTCACAAAATAACCTCAGTAAATCATACCGTTAGAAGACGATGCATGGCCGGGTGCGGTGGCTCATGCACGTAATCCTAGTGCTCTGGGAGGCAGAGGAGGGAGGATCACTTGAGGTCAGCAGTTCGAGACCAGCCTGAGCAAGAGTGAGACCCCGTCTCTACTAAAAATAGAAAAAAGTATCTGGGCATCATGGCATGTGCCTGTAGTCCCAGATACTCTGGAGGCTGAGGCAGGAGGATCGCTTGAGCTCAGGAGTCTGAGGTTGCTGTGAGCTAGGCTGACACCACGGCACTCTAGCCTGGACAACAGAGCAAGACTCTGTCTTAAAAAAAAGAAAAAGGAAGAGGATGCGTGTCACAGGAGAGGAGGAGCACAGGACAGAGTGTGGCCTCGGGACGCCAAGGCGGGCAAGAGGTGAGGGGTGAGCCCGAAGCGTCGCAGGCAAAGGGCACAGCAAGTGCAAAGGCCCCGTGGAAGCGGGGACAGACACAGAAAGACACGGGAGGGCTCAGAGCCCCCCACAGACAGGAGAGACAGGAGGACACGGTGGAGACAGGGACGGACACAGGCGAGGAGGCCTCAGGGTCTGGGACCCGCCTCCCGCTGCCTCTCACCCCTCACTCCCCTGCCTCCTCCCCGGCCTCCCTGGCCTGCTGCCTCCAGGGGCGCCCCAGGTAGCCCCTGATCGCGCTCACAGGGCTCCTCCTGCGGGGATGCGGGTCCAGCAGGCCCCACAGAAGAGTGTCCGCCTCGGGGGCCAGGCCGAACCAGGGCTGTGGGCGGTCCTGCGGCTGGCCCGAGGCCTGCCAGATGAGGAAGTCCTCATAGAAGGGGTCAGCCTCGGCCAGGGGCTGGTCCCAGGGGAAGTAGCCGGTGAGGAGGCAGAAGACCAGGACGCCCAGCGCCCAGGCGTCCAGGGCGGGCTGAATGGGCAGGCCCTCGGGGAGCGGCGGGGGTGCACAGAGCTCGGGGGCCGTGTAGGGGATGGGCGGCCCCGTCAGGCGGAGCAGGGTCCCGCGGGGCCGAGTGTGGCCGAAGTCGGTCAGCTTGAAGTGCTGGCAGTCGGGGTCGCACACCAGCACGTTCTCCGGCTTGAGGTCACGGTACACCAGGCCCAGGGAGTGAATGTGCTCCAGGGCCGAGGCCAGCTGGGCCGCGCAGCGCTGGACGGCTGGCTGTGGGAGGCCCACCTGCAGGGAGAGGCCGTCAGGAAGGGGACTGAGACCACAGAGCTTCTCCTCGGCCCCAGGAGGCAGGCCCAGGGAGAACTGCGGAGGCCACAAGGACTTCCCAATAGGTTGGCCCCAGGGTGGCCTATCAGGGCCCCGTGAGGCTCAATGTGCCCTGTGAGGCCCAGTGTGGTCCTATGAGACTCAATATGGCTACATTGAGGCCCAGTGTGACCCCATGAGACCACTGTGACCCCGAGAGGCCCAGTATGACCCCATGAGACCACTGTGACCCAAGAGGCCCAGTGTGACCCCATGAGACCCACTGTGACCCGAGAGGCCCAGTGTGACCCCATGAGACCAATGTGACCCTGCGAGGCCCAGTGTGACCCCATGAGACCACTGTGACCCCGAGAGGCCCAGTGTGACCCCATGAGACCCACTGTGACTCTGTGAGGCCCAGTATGACCCCATGAGACCCACTGTGACCCCATGAGACCCACTGTGACGAGAGGCCCAGTGTGACCCCATGAGACCAATGTGACCCTGCGAGGCCCAGTGTGACCCCATGAGACCACTGTGACCCTGCGAGGCCCAGTGTGACCCCATGAGGCCCAACGTGGCCCTGCGAAGCATCGTGTGCCCCGTGACAGTGGCGAATCTCAGTAGGGTACGGGGGTACTCCTGTGATGTTCGGGACTCCAAGGAGGCCTAACAGTTCCGTGAGCCCCGTGGGCCCAATGAGGGCGTCCCGGGCTAGGCGAGGCCGGGGCGGCGGACACAGCGATGAGTCCTTGCGGTCCAGGCTGTTCAGGGGCGATTCTGTGAGGGGCGAGGCTCTCGCAGGCACACTCGGGGTCTGCCTACCCACCTTGGGCTGGATGAAGGCCATGAGGTCCCCGTGCAAAACGGGCTCCGTCAGGAAGCTGTAGGAGGCGGCTGACTCGAGGCCGATGCCGTAGGCGGTGACGACGGCCGAATGCACGCCCAGTGAGAGGCCCACGCAGAACTCGTACAGGAAGCCACGCAGGGAGGTGGAGGGCTTCGGGAGCTGCTTCAGGCCAGGGCGTGCCTGGGGAAGCAGGGACAGGCTGCGAAGCGTGCAGGAGCCAGGGCCCTGGGCCAGCGACCCCTGCTCACCCTTGCTGGCCCTGAGCCCGGGCGTGCTTCGCCACGTGCCACCCCTGCCCCTCCAGTTCCCACCCTAATGGCACGGCCACCGGGACATCAACTGGTGGTGATAATAACGACAACACAAGACCGGGCACGGCGGCTCATGCCTGTAACCCTGCAGTTTGGAGGATTCTTTGAGCCAGGAGTTCGAGACCACCCTGGGCAACATGGTGAGACTCCAAGTTCTCCTCTGCCCTGGTACATGGACTGTCAGACCAGACGGGACGCCATGTGGACTCTCAGAAGAGCAAACCCATGTTTGAGGCAAAAGCATTTTTGAGGCAACTGGGGGAAGATAGCCTGCCCTGGGGAGTGGATCCAATTGAGGAATCAGGCCTTTGTCACACGTGGAAATGCCCCGAAGGCAAGAACTTCCGGTTTCTTTGATATATATATATTTTTTTTGCCACCAGCTGCCAAGGCCAGGCTGGCCCGTCTGCAGGCTGTGGGTGACCGAGGTGGGTCACCCCTACTAAGCAGCCGGCCACCCCTTCTGCTCCCCAGCTGGACGCAGCAGTGCATGTCTACGCGGTTACCGTGTCCTGGATCACCTCTGCCCTTCCCTGCTCCCCGCCGTGCCATGACCTTCTCCATGACAGTTGCCTGTTCACATCCCCAGCATCGCCCAGCCCAGGGTGGGCCGCCAGGGGGCTTCACAGCCAACGTTTGATGCCCCCCAAATGCACGAGCCTCATCCGACTCCCCCCCCCCCGTGTGTCCTACGTCTCCCTGTTCCATACGGATCCAGGGCTGGGGCTCTCCTCTTCACTCCTCTCTGTCCCCACAAAATCCATAGGTTGGGGTTCTAACCCCCAGAACACAGAATGTGACTGTATTTGGACAGGGGGTCTTTCAAGAGGAAAATTGAGGGCTTTAGGGTGGGCCCTAATCCCACACGACTGGGATCCTTACGAGAAGAAGAGGTTAGGACACAGACACCCGGGGGGACACAGAAAAAAGACGGCTGTCCACAAGCCAAAGAGAGAAGCCACCCTCCCTGCTGACACTGTGGTCTGGAACTTCCAGCCTCCGCAACCGTGAGGAAAAACGGTCCTGTTGTTGAAGCCGCCTGGTCCGGGGCACTTGGCTACGGCAGGCGGAGCAGACTGACACTCTCTGGCTCCCCATCCGTGCTGGGAGCTGCTTGAAGGGACAGCTGGCTGATTCCTCTCGGGGTCCCCAGAACCACCCGGCTCAGGGCTGAGGCCCCCGGCGGCCTCTGGAGGTGTGCCCTGAACTGGGATCGGCTCCAGGTTTTCACCCACGGTATCCACTTCTCGCAAGGGCAGGGGCTGGGCATGTGCTTGGCAGAAAGGTACCAGAGGCCGTGGTGCCAGCTGTCCTGCACACGCCTGGGGTGGCCTTGCTACACGCTTGGCCAACAGCATCCCTCTGAATCATCCCACGCGACCACTGAACCAGCCATGTGCGAGATCCATGAGGGTGGGGACTCCATCTCGCCAACACTGTCCCCGGACACTAGGGCAACAGCTACGTGCTCAGGGAACCAACACTTTTCTTGAGTAGGAAACCTTCCACATTTTCAAAGAAGGAAGCTGAGGCTCAGAGAGGTCTAGGGTGTTCCCCAAAACACAGCTTGGGAGGGGCGGAGGTCAGACTTGATTCAGGCCTACCAGATGCCCCTGCCCCCAGCTGCACCCCCCCCCACCGTCCCCGGACCTGGTACCTTTCTGACGATGGGTGACCAGCAGGACACGGCCGAAGCGGCCCTGGCCCAGGGGGCGCACTTCCTGGTAGAGCTCATCCACCTCGGCTCGGACCAGGGTCTGGGCACTCAGCGCCATCATGTCCTCCAGCGCCAGGGCGGCCTCCTGGCCCTGCCGGAGCTCCTCCTCAGTCAGGCCCCCCAGGCCCGGCTCACCGCCGTCCTCCCCTGCCTCCACCTCCGCCGACTCCTCGTCAGACCGTTTGCCCGGCATCTCTGCAAGGGCAGACCCAGCGAGGGTGACCCGGGCTCAGGTCTCACCAGGCTGGATCCCTGGGTCTGAGGGAGGAGGGGCTGGGGGCTCATTGCCGCTTCTTATCGTGACTCAGTTTCCCCTGGTGAGAGGCCTCTGAGGAGCAGGGACAGCAGTCTCTCGTGTAAGGGGAATCCGAGCCCGAGGTCACGGATGTCCCCTGCCCCCACACCCCTGCACCACCCGATGGCCTGAAGTTGAAAGATGAACCAGATAACTGGAGACACCCCCCACCTTGTTTCCAAAGCAAACAGACTTGGGCCCTGGGGGTGGATGAGAGAACAAACAGGTGCTCTCTGCCCCCAGGGGCCCGGGAGGCGGGGCTGCACCGGAGGGCCTGGGACGCCTGGGTCCTGCAGGGGAGCAGGCACTTGCCATGGGTCCCGGGACCTGTGCAGGCCGTGGGTCCACCTCTCACAGCCCGGCCTGCCTCTCTCAGACCCAGGCTCCCAGCCGCCCCTCTCCTGGAAACGTGCACAACTCACACAGCTGGGGCCCCCCAATATCTGTTTCCCTGATATCCGGCTACTCTGCAGCCCCGGGTGCAGCCTGCGCTCCTCTAAGGGCCCAGGCCCCTGGTCACCTGGCCGTTTTCGCTCTCAGGTGCTGCCCACCTCCCACCACTCAACCTCGCCCTCCTCCTGACCTGGGCGCAGACCTCCAGACCGAACCTTCCCCAAGGCCCGCCTGACCCTTCTGTGGCCTGCTGTGGTCAGCGCCAGGCACTCAGGGCCCATGCCAGCAGAGGCCTGCCCGGAGCAAGACCCGCCCCCACTTCAGGGGGTCCATAAGGCCCTGCCCCTGCCCTGCCCCAGCCCCGCCCCTTCTGCCCCCACTGGGGGCAGAGCGACATCGTGCGTTGACTCCTAGAACTGGCTGTGGTCAGACAAATGCCCCCGCCAGGTTCAGCCCTCCTCCCCTAGCCCCAGGGGTCCAGGCCCCTGCAGAGAATGAAATCATCTCTGCAACCCACCCCTGCCTTGACCCCCACCCCAGCTGCCCCCATCAATGCCCCATTGACAGGTCAGACACAAGTGTTCGGAGAGGGGTGTCCAGGGGATCAGACACCGGGGTGCTGTTTGGGGAAAAAATGAGACAACGAGATTCCAGAATGATGCAGTGAGAGATGACCTCAGGCCTGGGGGGGCGGGAAGCAGGTGGTGGAGCAACTGGGAGGAGAGGGGCCCCGCGGGGGGAGAGGTCTGTGCTCTGTGCCTGAACACTTCGAACCAGTGGGGGAAGCTCAGGTCTGGACCCCTGGGCCTGAGGGAGAAGGGGCTGGGCACCCCCGCCACGCTATAGAGAGGGATAACGGTAAAAATAATTTGAAAAAGCACAGGTTGATACTCAGGTTGATAGCTTCATGATCAACGTGAACTCACTTTATTTTTTAAAACAAACTGTTTTGGAATAATTGTGGATTTACAGTACGGTTGCAAGATTGTGTCGTTCTTTACAAACCTAAACTCTCTGCAAAAAGAAGAAGAAAAAAAAAAGATTGTGCGGTTCCCACGTGCCCCTCACCCAGCTTCCCCGAGATTGGCACATGAGCACAACCCAAGGCACATTTGTCGAAGCCAAAAAGTTAATGATCCCACCAGCGCTTCCGTGAACATCCTTTTTCCATCCCGGGGTCCAGCCCAAGGTGCCATGTTGCACTTAGGGAACTCACTTTTCAATCTAGAAGGCACACATTCCAACGGGGGAAACACGGTTTCCTGTTCCTGAGCCTCTGCGGGGTGCTGGGGACACAGAACCGGATCTCTGCAGCCCCTGTCCTGCAGGCACGAACCGAGCCAGAGGTCCGTGTGCCATCGGGGAGGTGGTGCGGGAAAACCGGGGGCCCAGGCCGGCCCGGGGAAAGGACGAGGCCCGTCAGAACCAGGCCTGGCTCTCAGGATGGACAGGCCTGAGAAAGATGGACGGCGCTTGGACAATCATGAACTGTGGTTTTGATCTGAGGGAGCAAAACCTGGAAAGGTCTAGAAAAGAAAGAGGTCCATCCCGGACAGTCAGAGAGGGGAGACAGAAAAAGAGAGAGAAAGGGATCGTTCTGATACCAGTTCCCCAGAAGGCGAGAGAGAGCTGGGGCTGGGGGCCCCTTTCTGGAGCCACAGGCTGGGGAAGGTGCTCTCGGTGGAGGGCGCAGGGGGTGCCAGTGTCTGCCAGCAGCAACGTGTGTGTGTGTGTGTGTGTGTGTGTGTGTGCACACGGGCCCAGATGGATGAGTGACTCCACGGCGATACCCAGACCCCAGGGAAATGGGAGCGGTGGAGGCTGAGATTTACATGGAGTCGGATCCTGAAAGTTCAGACTTTGCGCCATGGGCAGTGGGAGTCACCCACGGTCTTAGAGGAAAGGAGTGACCCCTTCAGAACTCCATGCTGTGCGCGCGACATGTCCGCAGAGCACAGACGTGTATCTATGGGGGAACCACATTCAAGAACACACACTGAGGACGGAGGGAACGGGAAGGGTCCTCAAGGGAGGAGCGGCTGGGGCTGGACTCTGGGTCTACGGGGGGAGGGGCTGGGGGGCTCTGGGTCCTCAGCTGGAAGGGGAATTGCACAGTCAAGTCAAGCCCTCAGCAGGGAGAGGTGCAGTGTGTTCCCTCCGTTGTCCCAGGAGCAGCTGTCTCCCCATCCAGGTGGCCACGGGGGCTGGGGGAAGGGCCTTTGGCCCAGGCTCTGGACACCTGTCTCAGTCACCTGGTAAGGAGGCTCCCGCATCTGTCCCTGTCTTCCTGCCACTTTTGTCGTCATCCTCCTCATCTGTCCACTCCTCCAAGCTTGACCCTCCCTCTTCCCCCTCCTCACCACCCTCATAGGACTCATTCCCCAAGCCCCCGGGGCCCTCTCTGTTCCCCTCTAACCCCCAGTTGTCCCCCAGGAAGTCCAGCACAGCCAATGCAGGGCTCCTACTGTCAGGATCCAGGTCCAGAAGCCCTTGGAGCAAGGCCAGAGCGGGGGGCGCAAACTGGTCCCAGGGCGGTGGTGGCTGAGGCGGCTGGGGCCTGGTGGTCACCCAGCCAGCGAAGGCTTCGAACTCGGGGTCGGGGGCCAGTGCCACGTCCCAAGGGAAACAGGCAGTGGCCGCACAGAAGAGAAGCACCCCCAGGCCCCAGGAGTCCACGGCCGGCCGCAGGGGCAGGGTGTCGGGCGGCAGCAGGAGGCAGAGCTCGGGCGGTGCGGTGGGCAGTGGGACTGGGGGTGCAGGGGTTGGGCTGCCCTCTGGCCGGGTCAGACCCAGGTCACCCAGGGCTACACGGCTGCACATGGGGTCGAAGACCAGCACGTTGTCTGGCTTGACATCTGCGTGGACCAGCCCCCGGCTGTGGAGGAAGTCCAGAGCTCCAGCCAGCTGGGCCACCACCCGCTTCACCAGCAGCTCTGGGAGGCCCTGAGGTCAAGGAGAGAGGACAAAGGTCAAGGTGTCTTGGTTCCTTCTTCTTAATCGCCCTTGAAAGAGGCTCTAGACTCCTGAGCTCTAAAGATTCTGATTCTTAGAGTTTGAGAATCTAGAGCCCCAGACTAGCGGCTCCCTACAGTGTCTCCACACACCCTCCCAAAGACCTCCCCTGGATCACCCTCCTCTGGATCACAGCCTGCACCCATATCTGTACTGCCCCAGACCAACTCCCCACTGTTTTCCCCACTGGAACCCCAATTCTAACCAGAAGCTCTTTCAAAAGTTCTCTTAACCCTAGTTAAAAGACTCAGAACTATTCAGACCTACTCCAAACATTTCTTATATATCTCCTCTCAAATGACCACCCAGATCTCTGGTGAGAACCCAGATCCCAAATTTACCCTAATCCTAGTCCCATACTCATCTAGACCCCATCTGTAACTCAGAGCCTGTTCTAAAGCCCTCCAGTTTACTTCATCAATTGATTGATTAGTTGATTCATTCAGCTGCCAGCAATCCATCCATGAAACCATCCATCCATCCAACGGTATTCAACAATGCATCCACTCAACATACATGCCTCCAACCAGTCAGCAATCCAATAACTTAATCAAGAATTTAATATCCAACATCCATCCATTCATCCTTCCTTGTTTCCTTTCATTTACCCATCTATCCACCTATCCCACCATCCTTCCATCCATCCATGCACACATGCATCCATCCACTCACCCATCCATCCATCCACTCATCCCTCCTTGCTTCCTTTAATCCATCTTTTATCCACCTATCCATCCATCCATTCGTCCATCCAGCCAACCAGGTAGCTACCCATTTATCCATCCATTCATCTATCCACTCACCCATCCATCCACCCATTTGTCCATCATCCATCCATCCATCCATCCATTCATCCATCCACTCAGCCAACCAGCCAGCCAGCCACCCACTCATCCATCCATCCATTCATCTATCCACTCACCTGTCCATCATCCATCCATCCATAAATCCTTCTTCCTCCCTCACTTCCTTCTTTCCTTCCTTCTATTTACCCCCAACCCTATCTGAAATCCAAAGTCTATTTCTAGAAATATCTCCACCCCTAATCTTCAAAGTCAAGAGGCCCTAGAGTTTCATGGTTTCAGTCCTGACCTGGGCTCCTTTCTAGAGGAAACCCCATTACAGCCCACCTCCATTCGGTCTATATATACATCTTCAGCCATCTCTGTTTCCCTTGGCAACCCTTTTCATGCTTATTTCCATACCCATGAATTACCAATCTATAATCAACCCTAAATCCAACCCACCCACCTCCGTCCATGCTCACATCCTAATCCCAATGCCAACTAAAATCCCAGCTCTGTGTCCATCCCCACCTCCTGCCTCAGCCCCAGTCCATCCGAGCCCACTCCCAGCTCCTTGACCATCCAGTTTGTGTTTGGTGATTGGGTGGATTAGGGTGGGGTGAGGCATGGAATTGCATTGAGAGTTAGAAATGGGGAGGTCATTTGGGGCCAAGGTTGGAGCTAGAACTGGGGTTTGGAACAGAGCTGGACCTGGGAGAAGTGGTCCCAGACTTTGTCTCCCGCCCGCCTCACCCTTTCCTGGAGCATCCCGCTGAGGTCCCCGCAGGGCGCATACTCCTGGGCGAAGGCAAAGTACCGGGGGGTCTGCAGGGGCCCCGCCAGGGTCTGCAGCAGGCCTGGATGTGAGGAGACGCAGCGGCCCACACAGAACTCCCTCAGGAAGGTGGTTCTCAGGACCGAGTCCCGACGGAGGAGCTTCAGAGCCACGGCTGGACCTGCCGGGGAGACGGGGCCGGTGGGGAACTCAGGCGGCTCTGGCCTTGCTGTGGGACCTTGGGCAAACCGCTTAACCTCTCTGAGCCTCCGGCTTCTTGTGGGCAAAGCAAGTTTCTTCACCTGTGAAGTGTGGGTTGGAGAAGACCTTCCCCGAGGGTCCCTCCCGCTCTGCCTCAGACTGCTGTGTGGCCTTGCACAGCTGCCTCACCCTGTCTGGGCCTCAGTTTCCTCTCCCATAAAGCAAGGGACATGGTGGTGACTTGAGTTCCAAGTTGCATGCCTGCCCTGCTGTGGGACCCTAGGCAGACACTTACCCCCTCTGGGTGACCTCTGTTTCCCATCAGATCGCAGAGCTCCTAATTTTCTGAGAGCCCGCATCAAGAAGGGTGCCCATCAGCTGCTCCTGGGAATGGCCCCTGTCTGGGAGGCTTCCAGGAGCCCTTGCTAAGAGGAAGTTTGGGAGTCTGCCCCTGGGCGGCCGAACTCACCCCCTTGGCGGGGCTGGGCGAGGAGCACACGGCCGTAGGAGCCGGAGCCCAGCTTTCGGATGAGGCGGTACTGGACCCGCAGACTCCTCACTGGGGTCACCCTGGTGGCCGTCAGCTCCACCAGCCGCTGGAGGGCCGTGGCTGTGTCCTCCTACGGGAGAGGGGCGGGGCGGGGGAGGGGGTGAGTCTGGGGTCCGCTGAGAGTGGCAGGGGAGGAGGTCGGACGCCCAGCCTGGGGGTGGGGGTGGGGGCAGGAGACAGGGGTCACTGTCCCCAGAGAGGAGGATGAGTCACAATGACTCACCCAGCCTCAGGCCACCTGTTTCTGTGTCCTGGCAGGGTTAGGGGTCATTGTCTCAGAGGCCCCGCCTGTCCCCATCTGTAGGAGTGGGCCAGAAGCCCCCAACCCCAGCTGGGGCTGCACCCTCAGCCCACACCCCTCCCCTGCCACCTGCATCTCTCTCTCTCTCCGTGATCTTCTCCCTTTTGCATCCTGCCCTTTGTTTCTGAGGTCATTTTTCTGGGGCCTCGGTCTTGCCATGTCTCCTTGGGTCTTCCTTTATTCTGCCTCCCTGTGTCGGGTCTCTGAGGTCTTTCTGTTTCCCCCTGCCCATCTCCCTGCGTGGCCTCCCTACCCCCCTTCCTCCCCTGTCTCCCGTCTCTCACCTCTGGGTCCCCATCCTCAGGGGTCTCAGGGGCCCTGGGTTCCATCTCAGGGTCGCCTGGTTTTGGCTGGCCCTTGGGCAGGGGCCCCCTGTCTGGGCTCCCCAGAGAGCAACCAGCCCCCTGAGCCCCCTGCACCCACGGGTCCTCGCTGCGCAGAGCCAAGGGCCGGGAGCCCGTCAGCAGTGTCTGCCTCCGTCTCCCCGTGTCTGTCCGACTCTGTCTCCCTCTGGGTCCGTGTCCCTCTCTGTACTGCCTGTTTATTCCCCTTCCTCCCTCTCACCCCTCTTCAGCCAGTCTCAGCCACTTTCCTTCTATGTGAACCTCTCCCTCCACCCTCCCCGTCTCTGGCCCACCTTCGGCTCTCCCTGTCCTGTCTGTTGGTCCCCAGCTCTCTCTTGCCCCCACACTCTGCCCACTATTTCACCACTGACCCTGCCTATCAGGGGTCCCCACACTCTGTTTTCTGCCTCCCTTCTACCCTCTTTCCGTCTGTGTTTGCCCCCCTCTCTGCCTCCCTCTGGGCATCTCGCTGTCCCCCGTGTCTCTGCGTCTCTCTCCTCCTCGCTTTGTTCCCGACTCTCTGTCAAAGCCTTTGTCCCTCCCTTTCTCTGGGCCTGGGACAGGGGTGTGTGTGACAGCTCAGAGACAGAGACATCCTGTCCCCCCACACCCCTCCCTCACCCCGTCTGGCCGCTGCCCCCTCCCTCTCCCTTCCAAACTTAGACCGGCTTGGACTCTGGGCTCTGGTCCCAGGACAGAGGGGACAAAACATATTGTGAACCCCCAAGGTCCAGGCCTGAGGACAGAGGAGAAAGGTGGGGAAGAGTCACACACCTGAGCTGGGACGACAGGCCTGGGGCTGAGGGCTTCTGTCTTCCTTCCTGGGCCCGGAGTGCTGGTGTCCAGGAACCAGGGGACTGTTCCCAATCCCTGCTCCTTAACACTAGGGGGCCAGGTCCCAGCCCCTCCTCCCTCAGACCTGGCAGTCTGGCCCCCCAGCGCCTCCTCCCTCAGACCCAGGGATCCAGGCCCCCGCCCTCCTCCCTCACACCCAGAGCTCAGATAGCTGTGAGGTACTGTCACGTCTCAGCCCCTGCGGGGCCTGGCCCGACGCGGGGGCTTCGCACTGGATCCTCCCAGCTGCCCGAGGGGTCAGTTATTCATCCCCAGTTCACAGAGCAGGAAACTGAGGTTCCCAGAGGCGATCGCCTTACACAGGTCGGGAGGGGAGCGGGCCCCGGGCCAGGTCTGTGTGACTCAGAAGCCTGACGCCCGCCCCACTCGAGTTTCCACCACTACTACAACCCTGCTATTAATAAAGACGCACAACAACAGCTTTGCGAAGGCTCTGGAAGGATCCGCAGGAAACTGGCCCTGGCGGGGGAGCTGGACAGGGCTCCAGTGGGGGCAGAGGTGGAACTTCCTTTGCTCTTCGGGTTTTCCGAGGGTAGCTTGGGAAAAGTTGCAAACCTACAGAAAAGTAGGGAGAACGCCAGGGACACACAAATTATTTTAAAGGAAATTATAACCTATTGAAATCTTCTTGGGTGGAAATGACATGTATTTGCTTTAAAATACTCCAGCAAAAGAAAATAAAAGTGGGGAGAGATGGGGGGCAGGTAAGTGTTACTATTCGAGAACCAGGGGCTCATTTCATTGCTGTCTCTATTTTTGGTTATGTTTGAAATTTCCCTCATAAAACACTGCAAGTTATAAAATAAACCGCAGGCATCAGGATAAATTGTTCCAAGACACTTGGGTGCTCATCTCTCTGTAAAAGTAAGAAAAATTTCCACCTCCACTACAAGTATCATATTTAATGACATTAACAATAATTTATTAAAATCGGCTAATAACCAGTCTGTAGTCAATTTCTCTCTCTCTTTTTTAAAGTCCTTATTTACATTAGTTGAGTCAGGAATCAATATCCTACATGGCTTTCAGGGAACTTTTTAATCACTGTGCCATTTGCATGATTTGAACTTTTCCCATGTGTGTGTGTTACTTATTCAAAAATTTAAAATAAAATAATACAATGATGATTATCGACTTGATGGTTATGAGGTGCCAGGCCCGGGTTCCTCCCACCCTCCCTCCCTCCCTTTCTCTCTCTCTTATTCATCTAAGATTTTATGGAGTCCTCCCAATGCCCTGGGTGAGTAGAATGATGGTTTCCACTGTACTGATTGGGAAACTGAGGCATGGAGAAACAGAGTCACTGGCCACAGAGACACAGCCAGGTAGAGGCAGAGTGGGGCTTTAGGGAGGGTCTGGGGTCTCAGAGCTCCTCTCTGGCCCCTGCCCGTCAGCTTCTGGGAGACAGACCTCAGGCGCCTGCTCTAGTCGACTTCCTCCACCAGGGCCCGGGGTTGGCTGCGCACGGCACAGGGCTGCCGCGACTGCAGAGGCATCTGCTACAAGTGCTACAGCTGAAAGGTCAGGCTGGAGGGCCGGCCACCTGGGTCCCCTGGGAGGAGAGTGAGAGGGGACACTGCAGGCCTTCAGCCCTCCCCAGCCCTCCCCCAGAGGCTCACCGATGATCCGGGGAGCTTTGCACCTCCCCATTTAGTAACGCCACTCTGCGGGGTCACCCGGAGTGACCTCGGTGTGCAGGTGTGGGTGGGGGAGGTTGCAGTCCTGACCTCAGGGCACATTCACACCCCTCTTTAAAGCTGGCCTCCAGCCTCTCACCTCTCCCCGACCCTGACCCTTGTGCCCCCAGACCCCAAGGGCTCCTTCTGTGACCCTCTCTGGGCTTTGTCCACTCCCAGGCTAGAGTGAGTGCCGTGGCGTCAGCCTAGCTCACAGCAACCTCAAACTCCTGGGCTCAAGCAATCCTGCTGCCTCAGCCTCCCGAGTAGCTGGGACTACAGGCATGCACCACCATGCCCGGCTAATTTTTTCTATATATATTAGTTGGCCAGTTAATGTCTTTCTCTTTATAGTAGAGACGGTGTCTCGCTCTTGCTCAGGCTGGTCTTGAACTCCTGACCTCGAGCAATCCACCCGCCTCAGCCTCCCAGAGTGCTAGGATTACAGGAGTGAGCCACCGCGCCCGGCCTCACTCCTGGCTTTGTCCAGTGCATGATGGCAAGTGTCCAGCTGCCTCTGTGCCTCAGTTTCCTCTTGTATGAAGTGAAGGTAATCACAGCTCCTACCCAGAGCAATATTGTTAAAAAAATTTAATATGTATAATGCATAATATAATGTACATGACGATATTTAGTACAATTATATTAGATATACTACCATATATAGTAAATTATATAAACTGTAGTATATCTCATATATAATATATTACTTATGTATTATATATATTTTCAAGTAAATTCAGTGGATAAGATATATACTGAAAGAACACGTAAAAAATTAATTTACACTTCAAAGATTGTTGAGTTAGTTACCCCATCCACCATCCCATCCCATCCTCAGGCCAAAAAAGAAAGAGAAAAGAAAAGAAGCCGTAACATTAAATTAATTTGTTTTGTTCTAGAACGAATACAATTATAAACTAGTAAATCAAAATCTTGGCCTTTAACAATCATCATGGTGCGGTTAACCAACCTTCTTGACAAAGCCGGGCAGTCTTTGCTCCCGTTTTGAGACAGTCATGCTGTTTCCTCTCTGCTACACCGCACATACTTTGAACAAATATTGCTAAATGCAATAATGGATGAAAACACAAACCATAGCACTGAGTATAGCTGGGTGCTTAATATTATTGTTATCATTAATCAATCCTCTTATGGCTGTCACTTTCCAGAAAGCTTTACACACCTGTACAATAATCACATTTAACCCTCGCATCTATCTACCTATGATGTAGGAATTATTCTTTTCCAAGGCACAGACAGGCCACATGGGCTGACTCTTGTCATCTCTGAGCTGCTCACACACAGCACAAAACCTCGCTGCGATTCTCCATGCGATGAAATATTTCAGGCATAAACACACAAAAAAATACCCCCCCCCCCACAAATATAATGGGCATCCGTGCACATATCCACCGGCATGATTGAGAAATATAACTACCCAAAGATAATTGAAACCCTTGGTGAGAGCTCTGCTTCCCAGATCCTTCCCTTCCCTCCCAGAAGTAGCCACTCTCCCAAATGAGGTGTTTGTTATTCTTTGATTTAAAAAGACTTCTGCAGCTGGTCCGGGCAGTGGTGTTTACAACAAATTGATCACAACCAGTTTCAGGTTTCTTTGTTCCTTTTCCACTCCCACTGTTTCACTTTAAAAACTAGAAATTAAAAATAAACAAATAAATAAAGACTTTTGGTACATATGTATAAATCCATCAGTGCTGGAGAGTATCGCCTTGCATGTTTTTAATGTTGTATAAATAGTATCACGTCCACGACCTTCCACAGCTTGCTTTTGTCCTCTCCAGCTCCACACTGAGCTTGTGAGTTTCCCCTGGGCTTGTCACATGTAGCTCAGGTTATTTCCTTTGCAAAGATGTTGAAGATTCTAGGGTGTGGACATATGGTCTTCAGTGGATCCATTCTTCTGATGCTGGGCTTTAGGGTTCTCCGATCCCGTGTGCA